GGTGCGATAGTTCCTGTTACTCTCCCAAAGATGCCTTTTGGGCAGCTGAGCTGTGCAAGGCCCATGTGCCATGCTCACAAACAATTTAGAAAGTGCTGCTTATTTAAAGAGGATTTATCTCCTGATTCCAGTTCAATCTGCCACACACAGGAATGTTTTGTAGGAGAAAGAGGACAACAGTGGTGAGATTACTAACAGTAATCAGGTTTAAAAACAGTTTTCACAGGTCTACAGTTTGGAGAGGAATAGACTTTCTATCTCTTTTTCCCATAATTGTGCTCATTCGATACTCTTTATTGCCTTGCATTTTTCTCTTCATGCTTTTCTTCTTGGTTTCACGCCCAGCTGGCTGTTACCTCAGTAAGATGATGTGTGGAAAAAGCCTCAGGAACTAAGAAAATTGATTCAAAATTGCTAGAAACAATTGCATTTAATGCTTCAACTAAAATACAAAAGACTAAATTCACCTGGGAGGTCAGAATCTCTGCACAGTGAAGGTCTGCTGGTCTGCATTATTTTCAACTAGAAAATTAGCAGCAGCCAGCAATGACAGGGTTTTAGAGAATATGGAGACCATTGCATTTGTTTCTGCCACTCGAGCCACTGCCCCTGCATTTACCTGCCTAAACAACGGCAAAGGAAGTACACACATCCCTCTAGCAGACACTAATTATTGCCTGTAACTGCTTTCGACAAAGTCACAATACTACAGCTTGCAGTATTTTACTGTGAGCCTGTACAGCAGCCACAGTTCAGCAGAGCAGCAACCTCAACTGGGAAAAGGATTCACAGACTGGGAAAATTTGGGCTGGCAAACACTAACCCTTACCTATTAACTCATGACAGGTCCCAGGTGTTTGGATGAGTTACAACAGAGCAGCAGAGCTTTACAGAACTTGCTTAGCTCTGCATATTAAGTGTGGCAGGAAAAAAAAATCTGCTCCACTCAGCCCTGTAGGATCTTGGTGGGAATATTCCCTTTCCTCACTACACAGCCCGGTTATGCTGGCAGAAAGGTCTGATCTCTAACACCTGGCTCAGGGTTGGCCTGCAATTATACCAGTGGCTAGGAAAGAGGATTAAATTGTTTCAGCCTTCTGGCTGAAACATGTTTCTGCTTACTTCACACGCAGCCTAGAAGTGAAAAGAGATGTTTCTAGCCTTTCATATCCAGCATGATCCACCCTGGAAATCTCTATCTTTTCCCAAAGGAAAGGCTTAGTAAAATTTGGCCTGACATATGAGACATGTTTCAATCATGTTTTTATTGCTAAGTTCTGGCAAGAACCTCAAATTTCATTTCCAGATTCAGATACTGGCTTCTGAAGCATCAAGAACAGAAGTCCCATTTCTGGCTTTCCCCACTGCCAGCCAGTGATCGGCCAGTGAGGTACAGCTGGAGCCCCAAACCTCTGGGATTTTGCCAGTGCAAGACCAATGCAGAACAACAAGAAATGTGTAACGACAGACTGCATACATGCTCCCACATAAGGGATGCACCAGGGATGAATTTCCATAGGTAGGGATGTTAGATCAGTGCCGTCCACAGATTCATTGTCAGCTGTCCTGGGCCCCCCAGGACCCCCAGCCCCAGAAATACAGGAGTGTCATCAGTGACACCAGACAAGCCCGTTCTGCCCAGGCACAGCTCCGCTCTTGGTGTGCTCACACAAATTCCCTCTGTCCTTCACCCCGGCAGGCCACAGGCTGTTCCTGAGGCCCAGAGGAGCCCTGCTGGCTCTGCCTGCACAGCTGGGAGCACACAACTCCAGTGCAAGGCCCCCAGAGCAACATACGGGAGCAAAAAGGGAGCTGTAATTGTCTTGGTAGATACCTTAAGGAGACTTTTAATACTGCAGAGTAAAAAAGCATACAGTACAGGCCCCTGTAATATAATCATTGCTGAAAGTTGATGAGAAGTGCAAAGTCACGTTGAAATAGATCTAGCAATTTGGTCAATACTGGAGCTGCTTTTCCAGATGAGTGCGTATTCCAAAGCTGTCATTGTCACAGTCCCATTCGGACATTCGTCACGGGATTATCAAAGGTTTTTCTAACATTTCTATCAATTAACTAGCTACTGTTACTAATCGCTGGCCTTTTCTTCTCTCCAGCTTTTCATTAAATGCAGGGGGAACAACTGCTTTTAAGTTCTGCTTACAGAAGGGCTGAAGGCTGAGCCCATGCGGGGCTTGGCTGCAGCTGCAGGTGTGAAGGACCCAACTTCCTGCACTGGGGATGGATGGTGGAGCCTAAACCCCAAAATGAAACAGCTTAAGTTCAGCTTCTAAGAAGTCGAATTGCTGCACTTGCCAATTCACTTTGGGGCAGGGTGGTTCTTAGTGGTAGCTGGATCTAATTAAAATGGCATTACAGAGGTATCTTTGGTTGGTTTCCCCGGGGAACACTGCTTCTCAGGAGCTGAGGGGTCTTGGCATATCAGCGTTAGGTTGGTATTTAAACAAAATAGCTTGTTCACTTCATATGAATTATCAAAATAATAGGTTGTTTTCTAAAAACTTAGAATCTGTGTAGAAGTTGTCTCATTTGGAATTAGCATGAAGCAGGAGACAACTGCCAGCTTAGACAGCAAAGCAAGATGGTGTGCTTTGTGTCTGTGGGGCTTCATTGGTTTAGAAGGACCGTATGCCATGGTTGCCTGCTGTAGTACCAAGAAAGTAGGCAGAATGGCCCAAGAATTCAGCTGTGGCCTTGTGGTCTTGTGTCAGAAGCTAGCAAGCTTTTGGCCTGGAATGTCATACTCGGCTACCAAGTTTTTTATTGTCTAAAGAAAGGATTCAATAGGTTAACAGTCCATTAATGCAAGTATTTAATTATTCCATCTGCATTCAGGAGGCATAAAAATGGAGACGTTATGCAGAGAGAGCATAAACAACCTTCAGCAGGCAACATAAGCACAGATTTATAGCTTCACAGAAAACTGCACTACAAGGAATTTTACATGTCACTTAGTATGTCCCAGTAACCCCTAAAAATGCTATTTAAAGCACTCCTGACAGCACCTGGCTTTGTGGAATTTGGACCAGGCCCTCAGCAGCTGGATGTGGAGCCCCCTGACAGTGACCATCCCTACAGCCTGTGACCTTCAGCTCCTCCTCCCCTCCACCTGCTGCCTCACCAGAGGCAAAGCCCACTGCTCCTGGACTGCATGGCCACCTCCCCTGCAGGAGATCAATTAGCAATAACAAATTGCAGCTATTCCTGCCACTCCAAGAACTCTAACAGGTGTGCATTTACAGGACTGGATCTACAGAACAAAAGGCCTGAGTGGAGGAAGCTGCTTTCTTGGTTAACGTGCGATGATTGAGTTCATTGCAAGAGTATAATAATAGGGAGGAATATATAAGCTTCACATAAAACAGCAACTGATATGAAAGCTCAGCTGCAGCTGTCATTTGTAGAAATACAGAGGGTGTATGAGACTTATTAGGATACAAAAGATGGTATCTTGGACAAGAGCAGGCAACCTTACTCCATCATCTGAACCAATTGTTCCTTGGAGCAAGTGCTTATCTAAAGCCTGCTAAAGAAAAAAGCACAATATGACATCTAAGTATGATATTACACCCCCATAAATAGCTTCAGGTCAGGGTTTGATGATGTCTGTCTGCTTCTTGTATGACTGAAATGATGGCTTAGCCTGGGACTCACATATTAGGTTTTCTTCTTTTCTTGGCTTGGCTGAGATTTTAAAAATGAAAACCTGTGCTTTACTATTAACTACATTAAAATCAGTTATCTCAAGACTTAAGTACATTCATGTTTAAATAATAGCTACCATATGATTTAAATTAAAATTGCACCTATACTTGGTTAATTAGATAATGGAAAACTTTTTGTACTTGGAAGTGTACTTATACTTCTGCATAAAGTCAACCCTTTGTGTAGAACAGAAGTCTGTTTCATATCAACTATTTGATACCATAATTAGGACACATTCAAGCAGAGAATTACCACACAGTACCAACGCCATCAAAAAAAAAATCAAAGTCTGAACTTTACATGAACAGTTGCAATAACAGATAACAGCACAGAAAAAAAATAAAAGTGGTTAAGTAGACTATTCTTCAAGGATTTCTACATTATCTTCTGATTTATTTTCTTTTTGTTTCTCTAGCACAAAGCACAGTATGTATTTAATATTTTTTAATTGGAATAAATGCTTCAAAGCAATGTAAGGTTTCTAGAGTTTTGTTTGACAAACATCGAGTTATTTCAACTTAATTGCTGTAGTTTATTATGGCATTTTTTACACTTTTTATTCAGCCTTGGTTATCGACAGTAATGCACCTATTCTTATATTTCTGCTTCATCTTGACAGACTTGTAGATGTACTAATTTAATTTAATTATTTGCATTCCTTTACTGACTTTAAACTTAGAGTTACTAGACACTTTCCAGTCAACGGGATGCTTGACAGCAACCCCATATACCATGAAATAAATCCAATTCAGTTAGTCACTATTGAGAAAGAGTTTCAGGTTGCTTTTGACATAGATACTCTGGCACCAGTAACTGCACAGGCTGATCGCAATTCAGTCTTGAGGTAGGGATTTGTGTGCTATACTGTTTCAAGCTGCCAAAGCAGAATGGATATAGCTTTTGGGGTATGTCCTCATGATGTAAGAACAGCAATAACAGAAGTAGCTCTAACATTTCACCTAAATCGTAGCTACTGAGCTACAATTTTCTAAGGAGCCTGTGGAACGAAAAGGGAGTATGATAAGTCCATGAACATGTGCTGAAATGCCTTGCAAAACTGAAGCTTCTTTCAAAAGTAAGAGATCCCACCCCAGTTTCTCCCCCACTAATTTCCAGAGAGCAGGATATACAGCCTTAAAAAGGAAGCCCTGTTAGTATTACTGTGCAGTCTTAAAGGTTAGCAGTTACTTCCAGTGCCTGCGTGGAGAAACATTTTGCAAGCAAACCAAGGAGCACACTTGCACTGCAAAGGCTTCACCCCATTTCCTTCAGGAATATTGGTTTGGATGGGCCCACAGTGTTAACTCCAGCACGAGAGGTTTTTATTGCTATTTTTGTATGCTTTTCAGTTAACATAGCTGCACATTAAAGCAGAAATGGAGCACAAACTTTTATTTCTAGGCCTCAGCACTGAATGTTTGCCTAGGATCTAAACTATTGTTTACAGCAGTATTTGCTTATGCATGTGAAAACAGCCGCAGTATACAAGGCCAACTTCTCAATTAGTATCAAAGCTAGTTCTCCCCCGTGTAAACATGCCTCTGATGAGCAGACCCTTTCCTTGCAGAAAGCCTGAGCTCAGAAGTGTTCTCCCACCCCCAAGAGGCAGGGAAGTGTAGGTCTAAAGATGACAAATGGAAAATATGCACCAGGAATTCACCAAGACATTCACCAAGGCCAGGATCTGCCCCTACCCTGGCACAGATTTGGAGTAAAGCTGGTGGATTTGCAACCTCCGTTTCTAAGTAAAGGGACTGGAGGTTGTCCCCTTTTTTGTTTTGGCACGTTCCCGAGGGGTTATTAGCAGCAGGGGAGAAGTGCAAAGGGAGTAGGAAGCTGTGATCCTGGCCGTGGCACTCATACACACAGTGATGCTGGATGGCAAAAGCAGCACTCAAGCTCCTGTGCCACCTGAAGAGTGGAACAACAGCACGAAGAGAGGCATGCAGGCACTTCCAGTGAGCAGAGAAACATCACCAGCGCCCTGAGAGCACGCTCTTAATGTCAGTCCCTGCAAATGAATTTATAAAACACAATGAAAATCTCAAGGGCCTTTTAGGCTCCTTGAAACCCTACTGAGATATCCCCAGCTGTACCAGACATGTAACACATGACTTTCTGTTGTCTTCTCTGTTTCTCTCTTGCAGTGGCATTGAAAGCATCAGCAGCACCCATCAGAGTAGCCCTGGTCCACATCAGTCAAGTGGCGGCGGGGTTACAGGCTGCCAAAGGGGGCCATGCAGCAGCCAGCCCCACATCACTCCCATTTCAGAAGGGATGCATTTTTCACTCTCATCAAACAACAGCATTTACATACGTGCTAGTGGAAAGATAAATCCCACGTGCAAAGTCCCATCCAGGTCTGCAGCACTGCCTGCGTGTTGCTTGCCATCGTTATGACTTCTCCCTGGGAGAAGACTCCTCTTGTACCTTCCTGAGAGGGGAGAAAGTCCCCTGCCTGCTGCAGAGCTAGGTAGCAGGCCCACGGGGGTTAACTGATGGCCCAGGGAATTGATTTGTCAGCAGCGATACAACAGCAGGATGCGCTGCAGGATGACACAGCAGAACCAGAACGAGGGAGTCGGACCCTGAGGGATCTAAAAGGAATTTTCCTGGCCTCTGAGCACCATAGGTAGTTGTCGAAAATACATTTTAATGTGCTCATGAGACTGAAATGGATCTAGAAGTGGAAAATTCCCTCACCTGTGAGGGCATCCAGCAAATTCTGCAGCAATAAACAAAATGCTTTCCGCATAATCAATACACAAGTTGAACTTGTAGGCTCTACAGAAATGTCCTTCTGTTTAATATGAGGGAGAAAAGTTACAGGACCTTGCTGGAAGAAAAAATGTTTTTTCCTTCAGTCTGTGACAGCCTATTTGGTTTCAGCCTGGGCTACAAAGCACCTGATGCTGCTGCTGGCCTCCTCCTTCACTGCACTGTGCATTAGTTCATTAATAGCCTGATACATGCAGGGTGGTAGATACATTTCCAGGTTTATTCTGCCCAAATATATGACACCTCCTGGAAGTTGCTTGTGAATATCCAAAACCCAAATTCAGCCTGTACAATAAGTCCCCAGGGCAGCTGACCTAAACCGACCAAAGGGGTATCTCCCACCCCATGTGAGTGGGAACCTTTGCTCCCACCCCTCACACCCCTTTTCCCTTCAGTGAAGTTCCCTTTACCACAATCAGGGAGCCTTTTTCTTTCCCAGCTTGCTTGCTTTCCCCACTGTCCCTTTGAGGAGAGGGAGTGAGAACATGCTTGTGGTGGAGCTGAGCTGCCAGCAGGGTGCGACCACCACAGCCCACTGAAGGAGTGCGCTGTGCTGCTGCTCCCCAGTTCCTTCACTGACATTTGTAGCTAAATTGCCAGAGCTAAGTGGTGGTGCTGTAATTACAGATTAGGAGCTTTTCCTACTCAAAATAGCCCTTTTCTTCCTCTTACAAGTCTCTCAAGCTGCACAATAGCCTGAAGTAGATCATGCAAGTACCAGCCCAGAAATTCTAAATGAACAGAATAGCCATTTCTAATTGTGAGTTAAAAAAAAAAAAAAGTTGACTTAAAGGACTTCATGCCACTGAGTCCTGTTACATGCATCTACCTAGCCCCATGCTGCTTTGTGCCCAGCTCATATAAAAGCTGATTCATGGCAGTACCTGGAAATGAGATTAAGACTTCCCATTGCATCCAACCCCCTTCCCTTTGCACCTGGGCAGTCTTTTTACTGCAGTTTTAAATGACCGTATGGCTCTCATACAGCAGGAACCAACACAGGGCATTTTTATGGACTGCCTTCCAAACAGAATACTGCAGAGCTGTTGAAGTTTCCCAATGTATTTTCTGGGGGTGCTGATGGGATGTCAGGTTTTAAAGATTTCTGGATGAGTCATTTCCAGCTACACCAGTTGCAAGCACCTCAATGTAGTGATTTTTGCCTCAAGTGACAACAGATAAATTGCATCAATAACCTGACACTGTTACGGGCCTCACCTGCAGAGGGATACTAGGGTATGTAAGCCTCTAGCATAGATGACAGAGTGCCAGAAGGGCCTTAAAAACTCCATATTGAGAGAGACAGACTGCACCTGAAACAGCAGAGGCTGATCCTGGGCTATATTTCATCGACACTTTACGCCAAGGGCACATGAGACTCACTGTGGTGTGCAGCAAGCTGTGCCTGCAGGGGAAGCCCGGGGTCAGGCCAAGGTGACCCCACAGCAGCTTAGCACTGGGCATGCCCCCAGTTAATCTGACCCTACCGTGACATTATTAACATGTAACTGGCAGGAGCTCTGCCTGCTTGCTAATCCCATACCTGGCACACAGACCGCCAGTCAATCATCTTCATCATCTTCTCATCCTGGGTGATTTTAGTAGCAAAATGTTTTTTTCCACCAGACATTTCTTACAGCTCTTCTGTAACACCAGGCCCTACCCATGCCTACTGCAGCCAGCAAAAGGCTCCCATTGGAGTAGTTCCTTTGAAGTTTTCTTCCATAGTCAATTTAGATTTGAATTAACATTACAAATTTTCTACTCTATTAATTTCATCACAAGTCCTTTTATGCAATTGAGTAATTAATTTCAATTCTCAATAAGGGCTTTCATTAAAGTATTGCTATTGTTGAAACCCTATTTTCCTCAAAAGAACGGGTGGGACATTCTCTGGAAAGGCATTTAAACTGTTCCTCATATTTAGATAAAGTTAGTGATTGAAATTACTCATATATTATTCAATTTAAATTCTGTGATGTTTCCAGCCCCATATCTAAAATTAAAACGAAGGCTAACTTTTCTCACAAGCTGATAGAAATAATGCAGCTCTTATATCTCCTCAGTAGCCAGTTATATTGATTTGCATTCGTATTGTAGTTATCTATAATAAAATAAGTTAACAAACCTTAGCTGATACGCTGTACTTAATCATTTCATTTGTAAGTAAATGTGAAATACAGGTGACAGCCTGTATTTATTTATACATTGCCTTGGCAGCATGAGATTTAATTGTTCTACTGTGTCTCATAGAATTGAAATCTTTTGTTCCCTTTTTCTTATAGTGCCTATGAGGCACTAACAAGCACCACAGCATTTTATGTGTGTGCAAAGACTGTGGGAAAACAGCATGCACAATCCCAGGTCTCCAGGCTCTGCAAGGGGAAGGCAGGGGGGAAAGAGGTTGCTGTGTAAGACCTTTGTGCTTTGAAGTTTTGGTTGCCCCAGGTGCCTCCCCCATGGGATCTTTTCCGTGCTGCTTCCAAATCCTCTGTCCCACTGCTGGGTCAACACACAAAGAAAGCAGCAGCACTGCCCTGGAGGATGGAGTGGCCACAGATAGGAAGGTCCCTGCCCCGAGGGACAGAGGCCAGCTCATGTGGGCACTGCACACTGCCCTCGGTGGCAGCACCACCTCACCTGCCTGGCTGCTCCTGGGGGACCTCAAAGACGCCCACAGCTCTTCTGTGGGGTTTCTGGCTGGAACTTGGGGAGGACGTGCAGTGTGACGTAGGTGCCATGTTGTACAAAACCATGTGGTGTCCAAGGACTGACACCCTGCCCTGAAGGCTGAGAACAGGGCTCGAGTTCTTGCAGACACGGTAACTGCTTTGTCCAGGCTCCGGAGGACTGTGACAAGTCTACATGCTTATTATCTGACTTCCTGAGCTGCTTTTCAGAAGCAAGCATTTTTTTTTCCTACAGAAAGAGCAGAACATGGTATCTGTTCTGTAAGAACAAACATGAATTTTCTGTCCACAGTTTGACAAGGACTAAAGGGCAGCGGTAAACAGCAAAGCTTCAGATTCAATAAGCTACTTAAAGCAGCTGTGCAGATGCCTCTAGCCAGCAGTGTGCTCATTTCAACAGCTGCATGGCATAAATAGAAACTGCTCGCTCTTATCTCTCGGCTAAATAGATGGCTGTGGGCTTTAACCCCTGTAAGGGTCCTGTACAGTTCCTTCAGGAATTATTTAACGGAAATGCCTCTAAGCACATCAGTGACAAGCTGCATCACCAGGAGACCTGCTCCAGCTTCCTCTTTTGTACATACCGAGAGTCCTCAGGTCTCTGCTGTGGTGTGAACTAAGGGAATCTGACCCGCAGTTATCCCAACGTAGACATAGCCTAGAACATTAAAAATTAAACAAAATCAGTTATTTAACTGAACACTCGACGTATTTCCTAAAACACTTTGTTGTGCCCAGAGTATATCCAGGACTCACAGGCACAGTACAAGGCAGAGCTCACATGCATTAGCCACCTGTACACCACAGTGGTCTAGCCTGGTTTTGCAGCCCTCAAAACTTCTGACTTCTGCAAGAGCAGCAGTTACGGTGTCCCTGAATGCCAACACACAGCTCCACACACAGCAATGTGGCTCAACATAGGGAACACGCAGCTGGCTCCAATGTATTTGGATACCCTGAACCCCAAGTTTTTGGTATAACAGCAGAGTCCTGTTACACCAAACAGACAAAAAAAAAAAAAAACAGTTTATGTTGCCAACGGTCTGCAAGGACCGTGTGTTGAAGTTACTACGTGACCAAACCAAATCACACTGCAGGTCAGCAACCCACTGGGCTCTTGCTAAATGCAGTACTTGATATATTTTCAAGCAGTGTGATCCCTAAGCAGGGAGCCATGAACCACATGTACAAGAATCACTGCATGGTATTTTCTGTACAGAAGCAGGGCTTCCCTAACTATAGCAAAGACACCTTCCAAGACGAAGAAAAAAATGTCAAGGGAGGACTTTTTCCACTATCTGCTGAATTAACAATATGTCAGAGTATTATCATAAAGCATTGCAATCAAAAGTTGAGGCATGAACTATAAGAATTTCTTTTAATAGAGAAGTCCCAGGAGGCTGCTCATACATCCTCTTCTCCACGCTGAAAAATCATGATTCATCCAATGCTCTGAAAAGTGATTGCTTTTCAAATTGAAAAATCATAGCAAACATGGATGCTACAAATATTTCCAGATGCAGCTTTGTAATTAGCATCAATAGCTACTCAGTGCATTATGCTAATTGTGTTACCCAAAAAGATGCAAATAATATGAAAAATGGGGTGGGCCCATTCTTAGCTGCCTTTACAGTGTTGGGCAATTATCCAATTAGACCAAAAGATGCCTCGAGGCTAATTCCTGCCTGGATGCTCAAGACAGCCAGGCATTTTTAGAAACATTACTGATGGTCTGGAAATGCAACTTATTTGTAAAACTGCATCATCTGTAAAGCCAGAGGTCCCTAAGACCTCTGGATAAGATGTGAGAGGTAGCCATTAAGCAAAAAGCTTTACCAGTACAGACAGCTGGCAAAACAGAAATTTCAGGGGATTTGTAACGGGATAGCAAGCTTTCTACCCCTATGTCACTGGTTGAAATCCAGTCCAGATGGGAGATGAAAGTAATTGAGTGGCCCTAGCAGCTGGCCAGCAGCCAATACAATGGGCTTCTGCTCTGTGGCCAGGTTTAATGGGTCAAGTCCCTGCTTCAGCCCCCAGGCATTTCTGCAGGAGGGAGCACCTGCAGGGAGCACCCAGAAGCTCAGTAGAAGCAGAAATGAGCTGTGCTCCTGTTAGAAATGGCTCAGGATTCAAATTAGGATTAAATAAAAAATAGGATTTATTAAAAGAATATAAAAGAATAGAGGTAAGCAAACAGCGCTGGGTGCACCGGGAGTCTCCGCTCCACCAGGACGCACACCAGTTACATCAAGCAGCTGATTTTTATGCTCCTAGACTAATACATATTCATTATTACTTCTAAAAAAACCAGGTTATTATAATTAGCTTCTGGGGTCCAGTCCCTCCTACTGGAGCATGCGCACCAGTCTCCTCTGGGGGTCTCTAGGGGTCTTTCATGCTGAAGGCTCATAGTCTTCCTCTCCAAGTTTTTTTCTCGGCCTTCCCCTTTGTACTCCTTTGGCACCGTACCAAGTTTATAGAACATTTTCTGCAGGTCTTGTCTCCCAGCCATCCTTCAGCTTTTTTCTTCTTCTTAATCTCTTGGCCACCTGGCCAGATACCAGAGGCTTGCATAGTATCCCATAACAGTCACTAGTTGTTATCAGTTGTTCTGAAACCCCCAGACATCAAAGACTTCATACAAACACAAATAACTTTCTTATTGACACTTCACCAGTAATTAAAACATTCTTCACCAGCCATTCACAGGGACAGTCACACCTATAGCCATGTTAAGTTAATCTCGAAGAAGACAGAAAAAAAAAGGCTGTAACTGTTAGAAACAGAAGTCCGGAATAACAAAAGCAAACAGGTTCATAAATTTGAGGAGTATTTTCTGAAGACTTGATAAATTGACTAGAACGAGGGGGAGACTGGGACACACTGCATCTGTGGTTCAAGAATTAAATTGCCAGTGCAGGGCCCAGAGGCAGACAGGACTGTTCTTCACGGACACGAATTGTTAACACATTCCTAACACTCCTAATAAGCTTTCCCTTGTGTCTGAGTCACTGTCCTGAAGGCCAAGGAGCTGTGTAGAGCCCACAATCTACATTACAAGCGAAGCTTCATCATCAGACCCCTGTTTCTCTCAGCTGGGGTCATGCTTGCAGCAGAGCCAAGACAGACTTTGAGAAAAGCTTTTGTAGTTCGTGTCAGTGCCTGTGAGCAGCTGAACTATGAACTGAGGGTAAGGCTGTCAAGGTTAACTGAAAAGATAGTAGGAATGAAGAACTGAAGCTGTGTCGTGGACTGAGAACTGAACAGTGACACCACTGAGAGCCTCTTAGAAAGTCCTTTAAATAAAATCAAAGCTCATGAATGTGAACACTTGGTTGTCTGTTTCTGGTCCCGTGAAAGAACACAAGAGGACAACTACCACTTGATCATGGTTTTTAACACTTTTTATATTAAATACCATGCTTTAGTTATTACTTATTTTGGCCAAAAACATATCTTTCTCTCTCATGTACAACTTACTTGGGCGAAGATTGGGCAGGGAAGGTGTGTGCACCTTGTGCAAGCCCTGGAGACTGCTCAATGCCAGAAGAGTTACAGAGGACTGATGAATGCTTACACCAGTTCCTAGACTTGGGATCAAGAAGGAACTACCCTACAGAAGACTGTTAATAAGCCCTGGGGTCTTATTCATCCTCCTGTAAAGGAAGACTCACAGCACACTCCCATTGAGCATGTGCACGTTGCAGCTGCTAAGTGACCTGCTGTTACAGGTAGGTCTGGTGTCAGAGCCCGTGATCTTGGCTTTCTTCCTGGACACATCGCAGTCACAATCGCTAATCACCAGTGCAAAGTCCCTTAAGATACTGAGAAGTGTTTTGCAGTGCTGGGAATAGATGTATTATGGACCTGTCCACATGAAGTAGATGTGTATGAAGCTCTTCTGCAGTAGCTCAGGATTTGAAATCCTGAGGCAAAGTTCATTACTGGCACTGCCACCATTTTGGGCAGCTCTCTTGGGAGCAGCACAGGACTGCTTCATGTTTCAGCTCCACCTCCAGCCAGCAGTTAGCTGCAGAGCCCTGTCCAAATGGGAAAACAAGCCTGGAGCAGCCGGTGTCCCTGACATGGCTGTGTGGGGTCAGGTGGCACCAGGGATGCCATTACCCCCCCATCCCGTGTTCCTGGCACATGAGAGCTTCTAGAGTTGTGAGCCCCAGCTCTCATGCTCTGACACACCAGGCATACGGCACGGCCCTCAGGGCTTCACAATGAGTCTTTTATTTTGCATGTAGCCCTACCACGCAGCACATGGGATTCAGTGGCACAGCTGCTAAAATTCAGGGCAGAGCTGCGCAGCTTTATGTTGCTGTTTCATGAACGTACAAATAAGCATGTGGTTTGTCACAGTACAGAAAGGGGTCATTTTCACTAACCCTGCTAATCCTAAATAAGCAGTAATGATAAGCACCTTCTGCAGGCTCTGTTTATAGTTTAATCCGCATCTACTCCCAAGAATCAAAAGTAGAAAAATACTGTAGAGGTATTAAAGAAAAGCCACTGTTACACTTTCAGGACATTACACAGAACTGAAGTCAGACACCTTTTAGTGATTTTATAGAGAATCATGTGGCTTAAATACTAGGGAAAGGCTTTGAAAGTCAAGGAATTAGAAGAATCCACCTGACCTGCTCTGCCTGTGGAGCATTCAAGAACAGCAGTGAACACGTAGCACAAATAACTGAGGACTGAGGGGAAAAGAAGCCTTAAAGAATGACTGAAGCTCCTAATAAGCTCTTAACTTGAGTTGCACAGAGATCTCCAGAGAAGCCCGTAAAAGAGGCAGATATAAAACAAAGAAAATCAAGATTTAATCTAAAAGAGGGAACTACTCCTTGAAGAGGTATGTCACAGCCTATTAGGGAATATCTAACCATCACTTGGCTACAGAAAGCCCCAATTCTGTAAGGGGGGGGGGGGTTACTCACAAGCTAAGCATCTGTGCTTTCAGAGTCGGCATATGGCAAAACAGTACTTCCCAAGCAAGCACTCCATCTTCACTTTTCACTTTAAGACATCTATTAAACACAGGGCAGCTCTATCCCAGGCAGCAATGCATGGTGGTGCAGATCATCTCCCCAGTTCATACCTCAATATAGTATTTCTAGGAAAGTTATAAACTGCAAACAAGCAACAACAGTTATAGCTATTAGAATTTATATTTAACTCTTATGTTCCTGTTTAGAGGCTCATTTTATAAATATGATTAGGGTCCATAGCCAGAAAACCTGAAGGGTAACAGACAATCAGGTACAGAGTATAGTGTAACCAAAAAAAAGTAAGTGTATCCCTCTACCATATGCTTAAATCTAGTCCAAAGTGACAAGAGATAAGCTCATGAGTACCAAAACAATAAAAACACTGTGACAGGCAGCGATCACAACACAACAGCAGCACAGCCTAACTCTTAAACTTCTTCACATGTTGTTGTGACAGAGTATAGTTTGGAAGAGATTTGGGTGGAAATCCACATTAACATTTATATAAGTTTATTAATATTTGCTACAAAAAGCCCAGAGGAATTTAAGAGATCTGTTGTACTGGAATAAAGCATGCATCTTTTGCAGCCAAAAGCATGATCAAGACTAGTGCTGTGGGACAGTCAAAAACAAGCCAAAAACAGTCAAAACAAGACAG